ATATCTGTGGCCATTATTTCATGAGGTGACAAAAAGCTGAACCAGGTAAACGAAGGAGGACACCATTTGACAAGCCAGATTTCATCGTCCGGGAATGGATTTCATCTCCTGGATAGAATGATGACTACTCAATAGTTTATTAGGCCTATCCAGTAACAAAGAATCCCAAAAAATCGCTGCGCGACAGATGACAGATTAAGAATACTTTGTGTTTTAGTTCCCTGAAACCTTGAGACTTAAGACAAGGCTTATTTTGTGTTACAGAAAACAAATACTCGGATTCGAATTCGGGTTCGAGTGGATCGGTAAACTAGATGTCACATCAGCCGAACTTCTTGGCGGATAAATCGATTACACGGTCAACATTTACAGCATTCATCTATGACTACATCAATTAGACCTACAACGCATGTTCTTCCAGCATTTGAATGGATGTTATCAATCAGTTTCGGCAAATTCATCAGTCTCAACCTCCGAGCAATGAGACAAGAATACCGACGATCTGCTTGATAACACTGAGGTTAGCAAGTTCACTTGGGATGGAGTAATCGCCAGACTACTGAGTGAATGTGAGCAGAAACTATCTACAGATCCTCGCCAGACTGCATGAATGGCTATTGAAGAAAGCATATAATTAGAATGAAAATATATATCTCCCATGAATCGGACTTCTCGAAGCTACATGATTTTTCCAGTTGAATGCTAGTGTGTGGCCGGTACAACAAGTTTTCCGGCAAGTGCCAATCACATAAGACCGAGAAAAGTTTGTGAACATGTCCAAACTTCGAACCAGAAACAGATTTACGTGGCGTCTATGGGGAAAAACGTTTGCACCGGTGTGTCCCGCTAGACTACCGGCATGATTCAAAGAACGGAAAGCTGGAATCCGTTTGTGACTGCGGTTCTTTGTGGGTGCAGTTTTTACACATAAAAAGAATGAGAGCATAGCGAGTTGGTGTGACATATGAGGCTTCCTCAACTAAATGTATTCAGTGCTACGAACTATCAGCCTCACAAGACAAAGCGCAGAAACCTATCGGAAACACCCGGATTCTACGATTGAGAAAACGTTGTTTACACGCTGCGTGAGTTCAGGAATACCAGAAAGTCCTGGCTAAAATTATAAGAGATTAGATTGAGAACGTGTGCCAAAGGTGTACTACAGCGAGTAAACTCCGCATCCCATTCTGGTCGAGCGATTGATATTCATGGGGTTCCAGTAGAATGGTGCACATTCCAAGAAAAGTCCCCGCCACAATGCAAATTCGAACTTGGATAGTTCGTCCATACAGTCGTGCCCAAAGTTCCGTTGTCCTTAATAGTAAGGCGTCCGGAAGTTTAGGAAACGGAGGTTCTAATGACGTTTCAGACTATATGCTTCTGTGAGCTGTACTAGAGGTCACAGAAAAACTTGACAGCCCAACAGGGTTTATCAGTCTATAGGGAGTAATTAATAAAGTTGGTCTGCTGCACGCGAACTTCTAGACTCCAGTGGAACTGATAACCTGCAAGTTATTTGCACGCAACCCCAAAAATGAATAGGTAAGCACCCGGTGTTTGTTCCGTGGAGCTCATGAGAACAATTTGTTTACGGCTTTGTTCAGACCTTCAAACAGAAACACGTGGACTGCACACATATGTTTCCGATCTCAGTGGCGTTCTTGTTGTCAGTTTCTATCCAGATTGCCTGAGTGAATGTCTGAAGGCGTAGGCACTTCGGAATGATTGTGGTAAGCTAGCACTGAGTCTCTCCCCCGTCCACCTTTATTCTTTTCTTTACAATAAGGCTTTCAAATAAATCATGGTTGTAAGGCAGTGAAGCATTGGTGTTGAACACTGATATCATGCTGCCGATGATGATGATGATGATGATGATGATGATAGTGATGAACGAACGTCACCATTAGTGGACTAGGAAACGAATCATAAAAAAGACTTTATGATATAAACTTAGACATTTAAAAAAGGTAAAGACCAACAAGACTAGCATACGACATTTAATTCCAACCCCTATTTTTTCAATCATGAGAAACATAATTTCGGAAAATACCAACGGGTCGCAGCGATCGACAGAACATGGAACAAGACCAAACAGTTGATTTTTTCAACTGTAACACGATTTGATGGCTAAAAAGGCCATAAATTTTGTCGCCGGTTATTGAACACTTCACTAAAAGCGTCTTCTGCAGTGCCAGAATATCTTGTTAATAATAGGCCAAATATACGTATTTGCATACCAATTCGATTTCCACAGGAGACTCACCTGAAGCCCACCTGGATATTCAAACAGAACCTAAGGTTGATTGAAACTCATCGAGCGCATCTACCTGAAGAGTCCCAAGAAGGACGAAACCGGTCATGGGCTGCAGAAGAGTTTTCAGCAACCTTGTGAGTAGTTTTCTCTATGGAAATACACTGCACCAACTGAAACATAAGATGACCTTTGGGCAGCACATTCAGTTGTAGACTATCATAAACGAGGGATTCATTTGGGTCGTCTGTGAATAACAAATTGATATATAAATGAGTGTATTTATCAAATTGGCACCAGTGTGAATTCACGCAGAACCTAGGGTTGACGAAAACTCAGAGACCACACCTACCTGAAGAGCCACAATAAGGGCGGGATCGACTGTGGGCTATGAGGAAATTTTCAGCGACATTGTGAATAGACTCGTTGAGAATAGTTTGAGAGAAGATACATTTTGTTTGACTACGTTAGCGTAGTCCTTAAGCTAGGCTCCTGGTGTACAATTCCGCCCGTTTGACTGGATAACCAAGTTTCTTGATCACTCTAACGTCTAGTATCAAGCCCCATGGTCGTAAGCAACAGTTCTTCACGAAGTTTTGACCTGGATAGAACTTGGATTTTTATCTTGTATTTTCCAGTTACATCCATTTCTAGTTTATAATCCTACATAATAGACTACAGTCCTTTCCGTATCGGATAATCTTCCATTATCAAAGTGAGCATCATGAGATACGGGGGAGAGGAGAACTCCTAATGGGTTCAGAGTTGTCATCATCATCATCATCATCATCATCATCATCATCATCATCAACGACAGCAACATCAGTGTTGGCACTGATGCCTCATTGTCATATGTGTATGTCATGGTTGTACGAGAGCTGGGATACTGCCAGGGCGCCCACATCTAGACAGAAGAACGATTAGGGTCCTCATCCAAAGCCTTTGGCTCAAAAGCCTGACCGCAAGGCAACGGTGTTGGGCTGGAAATGGAAGTATATTACCATTTTTACGGAACAAGTCGTTATACATGTTCAACCCCCAAACCTGGAGGGCCAGGAGACTGTGTTCGTCAAATATCTACCCACGGACCAACCTGGTGTGAGAGACTCTGCGAGCGTCGCGCGGACACCCCTCAGTATAGCTCATTGGGTCGCCGAGGTACACAAACCGCCACACCACCGTAAGGTCCAGTCTCTTCGTGACGGCCAGAGCTATGTAAACAGTTGTGAATGTTTTGGCGGCTGCCGAAATACGGGCGACGTCTTTACACTATGTCATAAGAGGTAACACAGAAACAGTATACAACATCATAGGCACTCAAAAGTTCAGACTGCTGGTTGGTTTTGGCGCCGAGGTACACAAGTTGGTTGGTAACAATCACGGGACATGAATACAATGAGCCTCAGATAGGCTTCATAAGGCGAGCCGTATTGAGGTACCTTGAGCTGATGGTTGGATAGTATACTTTAACATTACTTATTAAGTTATAACCCGAATCAGAATGACTCCGCATGACCTCTGGTAGGCTTGTAATCCATTTGCATCTGCAGATAAGCGCTCAAACGGGAATGGAATTCGATATCAAGTGAGCCTTTATTGATTCTTCCCCTGTCAGTGAGGAACTCCAAACACACACACGGAAAGGGTCGTCTTTTGCCACGGGAACTGTATCCGTCGTGAAAAATGAAAAACAAACAACATAGAGTTTTAATACCGAAGTGTTCTCAAATGAAATATACCTGTAACCCCTGCTGCCTTTCTGAGTAGATGTCGCTTCTATAGAATAACTTCTACGAGAATGTACAACACGTTTTCCAAGAAGAATACCTGAAAATGTATTGTTCTCTTTTCACAAATATATTTTTATGGCTTCGATTTTCTACTGATCAATCAATTTCTGTTGGGTCATTTGAAAATAATATGTATAGACGTAATACACTACTCACAAGATTGCTGAAAACTGTCCAACATTTATTTAGTATTTGTGGGTCGTACGCCCGATGGGCATTGCCTTCTGTGGTGGGAGATGTCAGCTTTTGGTGCCTCCCAAAATAGTGAAATTCCATCCTCACATTCTTATCAAAAACTGTCGCGGTAAGCGTAGACAGAACAAAGCACCAGACTGAAAGTAGGCATTAGTGAAGTGTGAATGTGTTTTTACTTTATCTCTTGCGATGAAGTCACCAATTTTCTTTTGCGTTTCAGAAAAAAATGGAGTACTATTTCCTGACATCATACCACTTGTGAGTGGTATCGCATTGAGGAAAAATAGATTAGAAAGTTGGGTTCTTCAGGGGAATATTCGGAACCGGTAAAGTGAATGGAACCTAGCAAAAAAGTATATGACACGGGATTTCCATCCTAGTTATTCTTATTTCTCAGGAATCTTTGAAGAAATGCTTCTGACCAGAATTCGTCCGCGTTTATAAACAGTGCAGTTAGGGAGTCACGAATGCTTGCTCTAAACTCGTCGCAATCGTTGCACTAAGTGAATCTGGACACTTGTAGGAATATAACTTCCATTGGAGTGGGAAATCTATGTAAAATCACGAAACCATGGTCTAGGCGTTGCGAAATCTTCGACAACCCACTACCGGTTTATTACCTCTTGGGGATAAGAAGTTAGGCGTGGTGTCGAGCTGCCATTCGCGTACTAGAACTTCCTCGGACAAATCAGAATTTTCTGTACGAATTGTGTGACTATTTCATGAGACATTTTCGTTTCCCTTCGATGAAAAATTGTTATCACATGCCAACGTGTCCTGTGGTGGGCTTGCAGCGCGACAACAATTCGAAGTCTGCTATACACACTATCTATGCATTCGATGGAACTATGCGGTTCATGTACACGAAATCTGTGATGCACACACGCACACCCACAGCGCATGTGATGCGGCCACTAGTCGCTTGCTCAAGGCTGAAAAACAAGCCCAGACAACATGTGATCATCGAACTTTTCGGAGAAAACAAGACCGGGTAAGAGATTGACGACAAAACCCAGTTCCAACTGGTTTGTACGGGCCATAGATTTATTCAGCTACGTTTGTGCCAATAAAATGTGCGTAATGTTTTTCCATTGAACCGCTAACGGCCTAATAAGCGATAGTGCGGGATGCTTGAGGAGATCAGCTGATCATTAACTTCATAGCACTTGTGACACAGAGATAAGCCTTCTAATAATGAAGAGAATAACATTAAATGCGCCATCATAAGACTGACTCACTCACTCACTCATTCACTCACTCACTCACTCACTCACTCATTCACTCACTCACTCACTCACTCACTCATTCACTCACTCACTCACTCACTCACTCATTCACTCACTCACTCACTCACTCACTCATTCACTCACTCACTCACTCACTCACTCATTCACTCACTCACTCACTCACTCACTCATTCACTCACTCACTCACTCACTCACTCATTCACTCACTCACTCACTCACTCACTCATTCACTCACTCACTCACTCACTCACTCATTCACTCACTCACTCACTCACTCACTCATTCACTCACTCACTCACTCACTCACTCATTCACTCACTCACTCACTCACTCACTCATTCACTCACTCACTCACTCACTCACTCATTCACTCACTCACTCACTCACTCACTCATTCACTCACTCACTCACTCACTCACTCATTCACTCACTCACTCACTCACTCACTCATTCACTCACTCACTCACTCACTCACTCATTCACTCACTCACTCACTCACTCACTCATTCACTCACTCACTCACTCACTCACTCATTCACTCACTCACTCACTCACTCACTCATTCACTCACTCACTCACTCACTCACTCATTCACTCACTCACTCACTCACTCACTCATTCACTCACTCACTCACTCACCCACTCACTCACTCACTCACTCATTCGGTGATTTACCTTTTCGCAGATGTCTTCGTCAAGTTGAGTAATGTACTGAGTTTAGTTAATCAATGATTATCCCCTGCGCACACTTGACTGATCAGTTCATATTTGACAAGTCATTTACAGTATTGATTTGTCGAGAACTGCTAAGTCCATGTGTGCTTAGCAGGAGTACAAATCCAGAGACTTTTTGTAAGTTTCTCCTACATATGTTTTTGTTTCTTTCAGGTAAATCTAAGTAAAACTAAAGAGAGATACTACTGAAGTTCAAAAAGCGAGTGATGAATTAAAGGACCACTGTTCAACCATAACCAAGCTGATCATGAAATACATTAGCCTGTTTCTTTTTTACTGCACTTGAAGAACGAGGAAGCCATTGTTTCTCTCTTTTGTGAACGTACCTAACTCACCATACTCTGCCAGGCTACTGATTTCCGCAACGTAGGAAACACAAATATTGAGTGCGCCAGAGTGAAGTAAGGCTTAGCTAATTCGTAGACATGTCAGCTCTCAGGCGATGAGGGGATCGAAACGTCCGAAAGACAGTTGGTCTGAAGCTTGAACTTGTTGCTGATGTTCGTATATTTGACGCGCAGGTCAAAGGTCGTTCTGCAGTCAGAATTTCATTCCTTACCAACCAACCTTAGATAGCTTTAGTTTAGAACTAAATCGTCAAGGTTTCATATATGACGTTTGCCCTTTAGAAAAACACCGCACAAGAACGATTAAAGTTCTTTTATCCAATGTGGGACGCACACTCTGGGTGTTGGTTGACTTTTTGACAATTAATAGCCAATGTGCTGCGCACAGACCGCCTCATGCTTCGGTTGGCACGATATTCGAGATATCGCAGTATATTTTCATAAAGGAAACTACTCACAAGTTTGCTGAAAACCCTTCGACAGCCCACGACCGGTTTCGCCCCTCTTTATTTCATGTCAGTGGAGTTGGAAACCTGAGGTTTTATACTTGTTCCAACGCATGTAAACTGAAGAGAAGATCTGTTTATACTGCGTTCACTGAGTTAAAATGGCATCGTTGCTACAAGCCCACCGCTTCGAGACCTGAAAACAACTAGCAGTACGTAAATGGTGCGACAGAAGAGACCAAGTTGACTGGAATCACAGCACCGCAGCACTTTTCAACTCTTGCATGGGTACAACTCTTTGCAGTCGTTTCCCTATTCCAAACAAAATCAAACCAGCTGAAAAATGGCTTTAGGAATCTTTAAAATGCAGCGATTAACTGTGAGTACATTGAAACTCAGATTTGATCAGGAACTCTCCGGAAGTTCATCTGTTGAATAGATGTTCACTTTTAAGTAAACATGAAAATCGGTGTTGAACTGTTGCTTATTGTAAGCTATCTTGAGGTCGCCATCCCATTCGGTCGCTAAACAGGTAGGTGGCGGATGAACAGCTGCAGGTGAATCGCTGAATTGTAGGACAAAAGTCATTCCGGCGAGTTTCACTAAGTAAGTTGCTCATTTTAAGTGTAATTCACTCTCAGGGGAGAAACAGATGAAACTCTAAATCGCTCTATCCAACCATCCGTGCAGAGGGAAACATGGAGCGAGTTGTCTCTAATCCATCATCTGATCACTCGCACAAGCCACTCTCTATGGAAGCTCTCAGTCCAATGGAATGTCCTTTAGAAATGTTATTCAGTAGTGAAAATTGGGGCAGCACGATTAGTCCTGTCATACTGCTGATGCCACAGGACGAAACCACAGTAAAAAAAGTACTTATCTCACACTATGCTCAATCTATAGGTGAATATAAATCTCAGGTGTTGGTGGTTGAAGGATTTTGTAGAATACACAGTCACATGACTCTTGTTTGAATAGTCGTCCTCCTGCCCTCGCGCGATCATTCTGGTGAGCCCGCACAAAGTACTGGACTCGAATTTCGCCCTTATTACAGCTCATCAGCAGTGCATATCCAATGGCCGTGCCGGGGTTTGAACTCCGCACGTCTGACACGCGAGTCGAGCGTGTTACCACTGCTTCACCAGCGGATGCTGGACTTATCCGAATTTTCATGTCGAATTTTTACGTCTGAACAGGTGAACACGTTCTCGTTCGACTGACTGGGAACGCCTAACTGGCGGGCCAATCGATCGGCACAACCAAGGTATGTTACTCGATTGTCGTTCGAGGCGTCTGGCATTTTGCTCGCATCACTCAAAAGAGAACATCTTCACCTGTTCAGGCGTAAGAATTCGGATGACTCCAGCGTGCGCTCGTGGAGTAGTGGGAACATGCTCTCCTCGCATATCAGATGTGCGGAATTCAAAGAACAGAAATTTCATTAGATGAATGAAACTTCTATCTGAAAAGTTGTCACTCGAGATGCCAGTCAGCACGTGACCACGTGATTTGGTCTCCATCGTTGAAAGATGAATGGTACTATATTCTGTCTAAGCGAAAGCCACTCGCGGCCTAGTTTTTGAATGTTAAACCACTGGCCAGCATGTGGCTGGTTCAAAACTCTCTGGATCTCGTGAGACGAGTACTGTTAATGATTCCCAATAAGGATAAAACAGCTGTACAATGCTTCTCAGATTTTCCGCCCAGATTGAAATCGTTCAGCTGTAGCACCTTTTGGGTGCCTTATTGCCATGCCACCGAAGGAAGCACGAGGGTTGGGATACTGCCAGGATGCCCTAGCCTAGACAGGGGAAGTCGGGAGGCAGAAGTCGGGTTCGAACCACGGACCTTCCGGCCAGTAAATTCACGCTCTAACCATTTGAACCATCTCGCCCCCATCTGGCCGCACTTTTCATGCACACACACACACACACACACTTCCCTTCTAATCACTCCAAATATCAGTAAATTTCTTGTCTGCAAAACATGAAAAATAGGATTTCTCATCGATTTGCTACCGATTTTTTGGCGGTTGGATTCATTTGACTTCGCAGTATGAACCGTATGCATAACAAGCCGTGATTACTGTAGAAACGATGATAACAAAAGGATAATAACTGCACATAGGTGAAAGTGCATTGGTTTCGTTTGCCCCTAACCAAAGTTGGACTGTGAATGAAGACTATCTCAGTTGGAGTGAAATGTCAGCTTTAACTGATACCTGTGGCACGAGGAAAAAACACCATAGTACTGCTTGTCATGTTTGACTAAACTAACACACATAGCTAGTTTGTGATAAATGACCTGTCAGTTTCTCTTACGGGAGGATTTTGGCCTGGTAAACCTGCCTGCCGAGTTTTCAGCAGCTGATGGAGCTGAGAAAACTGGAAATCTTGCGGGTGCAAACATGTATGTAGTCTGACAACTTTGCTGTTCCATCACTGACTGAACAAAGTTTTGGAAATTTGGCAACTAAACAGCAGCAGTCTACTTGTCAGTACGTACATTCGTCCGACCAAGTTGACTCATTGTCCCTAAGACGGTTTCCGTTTTCTACTCAAAACAGACCAACTGGATTTCTGACTAAGTATGTATGCACTGTCATCGCTCATTAAATCGATTCACACCCCGAACAACTGTTCAATTCATCAAGAAATTTTTACCCCTCACCTGGAATGAGGTGGTGCAATGTCACAGAAAAAAAATCCGGCGCTGTCTTCGCATTTTCATATTCCAAAATGTGGAGCATTGCGCGGATAAACACTGTTGTCAACACCGATGTCAAAGTTATTTGTCAAAGATAAGCCCAAGGAGATGGGTCAAATCGCGATTAAGCCGATAAAATCCCGTTCACTTAAGCTGCATACGGTGCCCAGGACAAGGGAATGAATGTAGCTTTCCACGGATTGTGGGTTTTTTCCCGCTGGCTACAATAAACCGTCGGGAGCTAGCTCATAGTTTATGTTCCACTATTTGGAAAATTCTCGTGCTGTTACCGATCAATAACCTGATTTCTTGCCCAGGTGGATCAATTCTCCCAGGTATTAACCAAGCCCGAGAAAGTCCTTTCTACATACGATGAGTATGGCAGCTGGAATGTTGGCAACGAACCAGAAACTGTTAGACGTTCAAAAGGCTGAACGATTTAAACGTGAATAAACTTCGATAACTTAGGGTGTATGAATCACTGTCTGATCTAGAATGTGCAACTGAAAGAAATGATGATGATACTAACAAGGTAGAGAGGATTTCTCTGTAGAAGAGTGTCTTTTACTCTACTGGTTGGCTCCCTTTTCCACCGTCTTCCCAGATGGTTGACTGGTTGGCTCCCTTTTCCACCGTCTTCCTGTGTAGCTGTGTAGCAAATCCGTTGACCGTTCGGTTTCGTACAATCACAAAAATAGTAAGTGACCCCAATAAGGACACCACAAAAGTTCACTCACCTTGATCACAACAAGAGTATAGGGGTCCTGTATCTAAACAGGGAGTGATTTGGAGACGCAGCGATTCCCAAACGTGACAAGTAATGAATAACTCATCCGATACATATAAAAACCGCAAGACAAAGCATCGTAGAAGATGCAAGAAGCTTCAAGAAGCCCGGGAGAACCATCACCAGTTAGTCTCAGACAGAAGACACGACAAGAGTTTCCGGAAACCTTAGCTGTGAAAGTTTTGTCTGGCCTGGTAGTTGAGTTGGAGCCAAGAATGAAGCTTGGAATCAGTGTGTCTGACAAAACATAACTGAAAACAAACTACTCACAAGATTGCTGAAAACTCTTCGAAGGCCCATGACCGGTTTCACCCTTCTTGAGGCTCATCAGGTAGGCGAAGTCCCCGAGTTTCCATCAACCTTCTGTTCTACTTGAACCCAAATTGGACCGTTTTCGAGAAATACACTCAGTTGCGAATCAGTTCGGTTTTCACGTGAGACTCAACTGAATATCATAAACGAGAGATTTAGTTGGTCTGCCGTAAAAAACCAAACTGATTCGCAAATGAGTGTATTTCTCGAAAACGGTTGATGGAAACTCGGGGACTGCGCCTACCTGATGAGCCCCAAGGAGGGCGAAGCCAGTTGTGGGCTGTCGAAGAGTTTTCAGCAAACTTGTGAGTAGTTTCCTTTGTGAAAATATACTGCGATATCTCTAATATAGTGACAACTGATACATGGGTGGCCTGTGTGCAGCACATTCAGTTGTAGAATATCATAAATGAGAGATTCAGTTGAGTCTCTCGCGAAAACCAAATTGATTTGCAAATGAGTATATTTCCCGATGACTGAAAACACTTGAAGTTGTGTCATTCACCGCATAAAGCAAGAGATGAACTACCCCACATTCCCTGTCGTTTGTCTTGCGTAATAACTCGTGTCAGCTCTGAAGCCATTTTATTATTGGGCGTGGAGTAAACTACGATAGCCCTCAGAACGAAATCTTTTCACGTTAAGGGAATTCGGGTTGAGTCAAGATGACCTCACAGGCGGACCTAGTGAAGCCAGCTCGTTTATATTCTTGATGTGAAGCTGAATGAAAATATTGGATTTCAAAGCACGCTGAAAGTAACTAAATTACTGCGATAACCCATGACGATGTCCCTCTTAGGCATCGTTAGGTAGGAGCAGTCCCCGAGTTTCCTTCAATCTTGTGTTCTGCTTCAACCCGATATGCGGGAAATTCGATAACTACCATTTCTTTGTCATTCGCTAATGTTGCTTGTATTCATATCAACGAGAAACCAACAAGTTAATTTAGAAGGAAACGGTTGAACATCCGACAAACTGGGACGAGATGCTACTTGAAAACGGCTTTGTCAACAGTATAACATTATAACCGCTTAACTTCAGGTGCAACAGTAGAAAAAAACCAATCCCATTGCTATTGAGCACGATCCGTTGATTAATTCTCATCGTGAAAGGTGAACCACTGGAATGAGGTTCAAACGTTTCCCCTCCGAGCGTGGTATTAGTGAAGCCAGGACATGGCTGTACGATCACGGTGATTGACTCGGCTGAATAGTAATGAATAAAACGTGCGTTTTGCTGATGTGATCTGCCTAGGATATCAATCTGGTAAGCACATTTACTAGTAACTTTCCAGTAGTATTCGGTTGCATTAGGATCGCACAAATATGCTGTGCATCTGAGCCCGCTGACTTCCCTATTCTGTATTTACAACGCGAGGAAGTCAAGCATCTAAACCTTATCTCCTAGTAGGTTGGTTTTCAAACTGAGAACCAATCGATAGAGCGTACGTGGCAGCAGCGTGATATACTTCTCTCTTGAAGTCTTACTCCCCTTAGTTTAAACGCACGTGACCTGCTTCACCTATTACGGTTTTCTTAGTTCAAGTCAAAATCCAACAGAAAATAGTTTTTTTTTCATTTTCAGATATCCTAGATAAACGCACGTGACCTGCTTCACCTATTACGGTTTTCTTAGTTCAAGTCAAAATCCAACAGAAAATAGTTTTTTTTTCATTTTCAGAAGGATATCCTAGATATTGTTCTGTCTTACAAACTGTCCAGGCGTGTACTGAAATCCAAAGAAGGGCGAAAGAAAATTTAGTAGTACGTGAGACGCAAATTCTCGTTGAGTCTCTCGCCCCCCTAACAAATAATTGACTTTTACAAAAAGGATTTGCCTGAAATCTGACAATCAGGTGACATTTCCCTCCCATCATATCTAGCCAGCACATGTGTTACGGCGCGAATTTGTTCCATCGGACTAATCTGCAAAGGGACAGACATCAGTGTCAGCTGAATTCAAAGACCGTGAAGGATCAGAGGCACGCGCTCAAACAGAGGCCGGGAATAAGTCGAAACGGCGAAAAATCTGATGAGCCATATATTTGCTTGTATGATGATTGGGTGGAGATTTGGGTGAAAGAAAGCTATTTCTTGATGCATGTGGGGGTTTTGCGGGAGGTGTATTGTTCAGCTTCACATCACTCTCGTTTTGGACAGTCGTCCTCCTGTCCTGGCGCAATTATTCTGGTGAATCCACACCAAAGGGGGAAGCACTGTACTCGAGTTTCGCTCTCGTTCGAGTT